TCAGTGAAGTTTATGATGATCCACTCGGCATTCTCCAAGATTCACCTGTCTTCTGCTCAGGCCACGTAGGTGAGTTGAACGGGGATGTGGCTTCAAGTCTGATGGTGACACTAATCTTGGCAATCCCTCAGGAATGCAGTATTGTTTTGCTTTACTATTTTTTGTAAATAGAGGCAGTTCTAGTGGCTTCTCATTGGCCTTTCCTGGAATAGCAGCTTTGACTTCATTGGATCAGGAAACCAATGTGGGATTCTGCCAGTTGCTGAATGTCTATTCTAAGTATGCATTCTAGAACCAGGGAAAGAACCATAGCATGGGGCCAGCAACCTACTAGGCCTACTGTGAGATGGATCTGAGCCAAAAAGCCCATTGATCACCTGACCTCCTCGCACTGATACTCTGAGGAACCGTGTTGGCATCTTCAGTCTCCTGTAATTAATGTTAGTTCAGAACCAGGGTCTGGCAATCCCAGAAAAGTCTGATTATTTGCCCTTCCCAATGCACAGTCACTGTGGTACATGGCTCTGGGTGCCTCTGGGGAAGGCTGGGAAGATTAAAATTACTCTCATTGTAGTAGGGTCTTTCCTCAAAGGGACCTGGCCTATCCTTTAATCAGGAAGCTCTGGGTCTGTGAACTAGCTCAAGTGTGGGAATTGAGTGAGGGAGTATGACTGTCTTGATAATTCAAGTCAGATTCACTAGACCTGGAGATTTTCCACTTATTTAGGTCAAGTAAAATCTTAGTAGGCTGTCCTTCCATTTCCGTTCTCAGGACACCATGATCAACTAGCCAACACCAAAGATCTCCAAGGATCAGACTGTTCAGTTTTGCATCAGCCCCACTGTCTACCAGTGACCACACTCATCTTGTTGATGACCAAACACCAGCACATGGTCCCAACCTCCTCAGGATTCCATCATCCCCATTGCATTCAGGAATCCCAGGGTGATGGTAGCATTTCCCACTGTTATTTGACCTGTGTAGAATACCTGGGACTCTCCACGTGAATTTATTTCTCATAGTCTTGATGAAAGCAGTGTTGTCTGGACCTTCCCTGGGTGGGTGGGCAGTTATTACATGATATATACACTCACTCTCCCTGAGCGTTCAGATAGCTTCCTCTAGCATACCGAGGAAGTTCCGGCATTTCAACTCATTTGGTGTAGGTATGTTTAGGTCCACTATTCATTCAACCAGCAAGCAACTGTTAGAGCCATTCTCAGCTTCTCAAGTTAAAACAATGAACCCCAAATCTCTGCTTAATGATCCCGTATCAGTAAATTTGGCCTGATCTGACTTTATATTCCTTCCACCATGATCCTATACCCTTAGGCTCCATTCCTACACCTCCCCCAGGTTTCTGTCGGCAAAAATTGGCAAAATTATGTAATTTGGGGGGGTGTGTATTTCCTCACACTTTGTACTCCACCCTTTAAGGCCTAGCAGAACATGAGTCAAATTGTAGGTTTAGATGCAAAAAAGGGCAGTGGGATTAAGTCCTAAGAAGTGTCGGAGTTTGGGAAGACACACAGACCTCAGGGGAGGTCATTACATGTTCTTCGGGCAAAATGGGGTCCAACCAACACTTGCAGTTCAATCTGTGACCTCCTCTCTCCTGCTCCCCCCAGACACCAGCATCAGTGGCTGGTGTCCCTCCACAGGAGCATGGGTCCCGAAGCCATGGGGCCCCTCCTCTGAGCTCAGACGCCAGCATCAGCCCAGCAGCACTTCCCTCCTCACAGGTCTAAGCTCAGCTCCACAAGGCCTCCTCTTCCAATCTCCTGCCTTTGACAACTCTAACCACTCCTTTGTTTTTGCTTTGAAGTTTGCCCCATGGGAGGAGAGATCAACACTCTACCACCACCCAAAGTGGTTCGGATGTTAAGACCAATGATACTGCACACACCAAGAGATTATGAAAAAGCTTACTACTCATGTGAGGCTTTCTGGGAAGCGCAGAGCAGGCACCCAGGCCAGTCAGCTTGGCTGGAGTGACAGGAGGGACAAGTGGCTCTGGGTTTTATTGTGGTTAGGGGATGAGGGTTTAGTGTACAGCCAAAGCCAAGGTTTGCAAAGTTGGAACTTCCACTCTGGTGCAGAAGTGTCTGGGCTTTCTTATCAGCTTGTCCAGATATGGGGCAAAGTGAGGGGGTAGGCCTGAAGGCTGTCAGCGGTCAAACATCAAACATGGGGACAGACTCTTACAGCTCCCCCAGTCCTGGGGTGGTGGCTGCTTAGCAGCTGCCACCTTCATAATACCTTAGCATTCTCTTTTTGCCTAGTCACTTAAATACAGTCAACACTTCTTTATAAGTTCTCTTTGTTAAATAGTTGGTATGGTTTCTGACTCCTAAAACCTGGCTGATAAAAATCTCCTTGCTGTTCTTAGTAAGGTTAGCATTAACTTAAAAAGGTGTGTTAGTTGGCATGTAAATATTAGATCACCTTTTGCTCACCTATCTAATAAAACAGAATGGCTAAAAAGCATCTCTGTCCCGGGGTTCCTATTTCTTCCTTAAAATTATTGGCTGGGCGTGGTAGCTCCCACCTGTAATCCTAGCACTCTGAGAGGCCGATGGGGAGGATTGCTTAAGGACAGGAGTTGGAGACCAGCCTGAGCAAGAGACCCTGTCTCTACTAAATATAGAAAAATTAGCTGGGCGTGGTGGTGCACACCTGTAGTCCCAGCCACTTAGGAGACTGAGGCAGGATTGCTTAAGCCCTAGAGTTTGAGGTTACAGTGAGTTATGATGACATGACACCACTGCACTCTAGCTGGGGTGACAGAGTGAGACTCTGTCTCAAAAAAAAAAAATAAAGAAAAGTATGAGTCTATAGCTTCTGGCTTCACTTGCTATTTTTAGGCAAAGAGGAATTAAAATGGAGTTTAAAATGTCCTATAAACTGCATGTCTTGGAGATCATGTGTCAGTACATGGAGAATATTCTCATTTTTTCAAACTGTTGCATGCTATTGCATCATAAATGTACTGGAGTTATTTAACCATTCCTTTACTAACAGCCATTTGTGTTGCTCCTTACTTGTGCAGGCAAGGAAACTGAAGGCTTAAAAGATTAACTGGCTTATTCTAAGTAACATCATGTAAATGGCAGAAACCATGCTTAAGAAATATTTTTATTTTGAAATACTTTAAGCAAACAGTTAAAAAGAACCCACCATGTTATCCTGTTAAATCTTAAAGTTCTGATGCATCTGCATCAAGTTTTACACAGAAAAAAAACAAAACTGAAGCCCCAGGTACCCTCCCTCCCCGATTCCATCAGCACCTCCTGCCCTGGGAAGGCAGAGCGTTGATAAACACATATCATTCTAACACATGACTTTACACTTACTTCACATTGTTTGAACCCACAGGAAAGAGATTATTGTGCAAAACACTTTCTATTATATGCCAACAATACTTACATGCCAGACACTATTCTAAGCACTTTACATGCATTATTTCATTGACTACCCCCCCACCCCCAAACACCCTGTGAGTTGGCACTACTATCCCATTTTACAGAAAGAGCAAAACACAAATAAGTTGAAGTAATGTGCCTACAGATACACAGTATGTTTAACTTTACACAACCTTATATTGCTTCTGCAACCTTCTCAGCATTGTTTTCTCTGTATCTGTGTTGAAAGATGTAACTCTAACTCTTTCATATTCACTTTCCAAAGTGCCCCAAACCACCCATTTATTTATCTGTTCTTCTGTTGACAAAATGCAGGCTTTTCCCAATCTTGCTACCAAGACAATACTGCAGTCAACAGTCTTAAACTCACTTATCTGTTCACATGCAGCTCCTCTAGGACATATCTAGGAGTGGAGTTGCTGGCTAGTAAAGTACACAACACACAACTTTACAAGGTTCTGCAAATTGCTTGGCACAGTATTTGTCACAATTTCCCCTCCCAAAGCAGTGTGAATTCCTGTTGTTTTGTATACTTACCCACACTTGGGCTTTCAAATATTTGCCAACTTGCTGAGTGTGAGATGGTCTGTATTGTTTTGCATGTCCCCTGCCTTCGCCTCTGCACATGCCTCAGTCTGCTCTGACAGTATCTGTCAGCAGCGGGGGGGGGCTGACTACATTGACCAGGTGACAGAAAGATCTTCTGATACCTACTGCTCCATCTGATTGTCCCAGCCCTTCTGGTGCTCTCCAACCCCAACTTGAGTTCCTCCAAGGGAACGAAGGTGGGTGGGCAGGAGGGGAAGAAGCCTGAATGTTCTCCAGGCCAGGTTGGGTTACAAGATGAGAACTGGTAACTGTCAGCTGGAGCCACACAGAACCATCTACCGCCAGGTCCTGAACCAGAAGGTGTGTGCTTCTGGGGTGGCTTCCAGGCAACATTTTACTCAAGTGCCACTTCAAAACACCCCAACCCTGACTTAGCTGAACTAAATTTGGTTCTAGATTCCTTAACAGGTAATTTTGTGCAAAATTTCCTCTGCATGGCAAACAGATAAATAAGCACCCAACACTCGCCTCCAGAGCACTTGGTCTGGCTGCAGTGATGGGCATAATGAGAAACCCAAACAACACCTAACACAGCTAGATACAGGCAACAAGAGAGGTGGGGCCAGGGGAAAGGGGCTTAGAGGGATGAGGGTCAGACAAGGTCAGGCCTTGAAGACAGATGACCTGGAACAGCATAGACAGAAGTGTGGCACTCCAGGTGAAGGGAGGCAGGACAGTCCAGGGGTGTCCAGGGAGGTGCATGAAATGAAGTCAATCCAATACTGATTACACCAAAATGCTTAGTAGTTAGCATCAAGTAGTCAGACTTTGACCTTTTTTTCCTTTTACCTAATCTGTATTTACTAATATTTCTATGATAATCACCTATTACTTATAGAATTAAGATTTGAAAACTCAGGTTATTAAACAGACTGCATCAATATAATCCCAAAATATGAACGGCTTTAGTATAGAAGAATTTCTATTTTTTTATTTCATTCTTTATATATTTTAAAATTTGATTGGAATGTTTAAAATAAGTATATCTCATTCTATAAAAATGGCAGTAAAAACACTCCTACTTCATGTAGGATATGGTCAGGGGAAAAAAAAACCACCCCTTCTGGGGCAGGAACTTTACCAGGTGCCAGGTGGCACAGGAAATAAGGGGATGAAAATATGGACAGAAAGGGGTTTCCGTGGTCGGAGCACCAACCGGCCTCTGTGAGGGCCCTGGTCCTAGAGGTCAACCATCTAACCCAGAGTCTTAGTAAACCAAGCCCTCTTTCACCAGTCCCAGGAGTCAGGCAGCACAGCCAGGTAGTCTAATTTCACACACAAGGAAATAGAGGCAGAGGTCCAATGACTTGCCCTAGATCACTCTGCCAGTCCAAGGCACACTGAGCCTGGAACCCAGATCTAATGACTCCAGGGTCCCATGACCCTGGGCCCTAAGCACACAGGACTCTGACCCTGCCCAGCAACTTTCAGTGCCAGTTTGGGGAATTATGCCAGTGCAGGGACACCTGATTCCAAGCCGTGGGCGGCTGCTGTAGGAAGGCAAGAGGATGGCAGAGCCAAGATGACCAAACCTTCTGAGTACAAAGCTGAATGTGTACCAGGACACCACAGGAGACGCCTGCCCCACTCCCTGCCCATCCCATGTACCACCACACAGTACCAGAGCCTTCATTTTCACTTGCCCAAGGTGATCCTGAGCGGGTAAGATTGCTCTACACACTACTGAGAAGACATTTTCCAGGTTGGTTTCTTCTCATTACAAGAAATGGCCTGCTCCGTGAGTGGGCCCCTACTCACTGCAGTAAAATGCAGTCTGAGATGCTGCTCTACTACTGAGTGAAACATTTTATCCTGACATGTATAATCTGAGCTCTTCAATAATCAGAAGCAATGATTACTTTATGTACACTTGAGAAACACCACTCCTTTACTTTACGGCATTGAGATGGCTCTTGCTTTTTGCTTCAAAACAAGTGGGTGGGCAAGCGAGGAGGGCTCCTCCCTGCTGCCCCCCCCATGAGGCACTGGCACCTTTGGGTTGAACCTCATGCCAGCAGCAGGTTCCCCACGCATGGAGAGGGCTATGTGAAGGTGAGGGCTGCCTGCAGTGTGCAGAGGCTAGAGATGTAAACACAATAATGGTTAAGTATTTACATCTGCTGAGGGCTGAAGACCTTACAGGAAATTCAGAAATGGGGTATGGGGGAGGGTCTCATTTATGGAAACTGGCAGCAGAGATAACTACGTAAAAATCAGCCATACTATTTTACTGTCCTTGGGTCTGTGGTTAACTTTTGTAAAATGTAATTCAGATTCAGGCCACATCATTTGTCTACTTGAAACTGTCCAGAAGCTCCCTACCTCCCTCTGAAGCAGCCCAAGCCCCAGGGATGACCCGCCATGCTCACATGGCCTGGCCCTTCACCTCGCTGGCCCTCTCTCCACCTCTGCCAGTTGGCTCACTCCACTCTATCCCAGGGGCCTCCTTGCTATTTCCTGAGAACACCAAACAAGACCCCACCTCCTCTGCCTGCAACTCTCCTTAAAGATGTACATGGCTCACTCCCTGACCTCCTTCAGGTCTTTGCTCAAATTTTACCTTCTCAGTTGAGGCCCTCCTTCACCAATCTCTTTAAAATCACAACCCACCTCCCAGTCTCCTCTGCTCTCCTTTGTCCACAACACATAGCACCATCCAGCATACTATATATCCCATTGGTTTATCATCTGTAAAGATCCAAGATGGCAAGGTTTTTGTCTGTTCTGGTCACTGTCAGTTCTCTGGCACACACCAAGTGCTTAGCACATTTCTGCTGAACAGATGGACTGCTGCTGCCTGTGCATACCTGCGGCGTGGAGATGGCCACGGGGTACCAGTAGAGATCCATGCTCCAAGCGATCGAGCCCAGCACCCTGTTCTCCACCTGCCATGGAGACAACTCTAACCCCCTCGCAGACATGTGAAAGCCAGCTATGAAGGCTGAAGGCCCAGCCAGAACTCCACAGGAGGCAAACAGGAAGACTAGGAGTTCTTGATGCTGCTGCTGCTACTTTTAAAGTCAACAGAATAGGCATCATCACAGGCCAAGCTCAAAGAGAAACTTAGGATCCAACTGGCCCGTTTCCAGCAGCCACAGGTCACGATGCCACAGACATTTTGTCCAACCACAAAGGGCAATGGTCTCTCTAAGAGGTGTGGTAGGAGACCCGGCTGAAGGTGCCCCAGGCTACTGTGCAAAGGCCACTCCTACTGGCCCAGGTTTTCAGAAGGGCTCCAAAGAACATGTTGCTGTTCTTCCCCCAGTATCGCTTCCAGCAGGTAGGCTGGGGACTCCCTGAACTTTTAAATCCTCAGGATTCTGTCACTAGTTTCCAAAACAGAAAGGACTAGGCCCCTTGTAGAGGTTTTCCCCACAGTGCCTATAATTAAGGTTTCTCTAGCAGGTTGCTAGGAATCATTTACCCCATTGTCATTGTCAGGTCCTAGGCTAATCTCTAATATGGTTTTTCATGTGCCGAGCCAAGTTTGAGGACCACCTGAAGGTCTTCCCACACTTGCTGCATTTGAAGGGCCTTTCTCGAGTATGAAATCTCCTGTGGCTAACGAGCTGGGAACTCTTGCCAAAAGCTTTTCCACAAATGCTACATTTGTGGCACTTCTTCTTAGTGGGTATGTTCTGGAGTTCAGTGAGCCTGGAGCTCTGGTCACAGACTTTTTCACAATCTTCAACAAGCTTCTCTTTACTTGGTTTTAATTCCTGTAAACTCAACTCTGTGTCCTGACAGGACAACAACCCGGGCACGTGGCATTCAGACTTTGCCACTCTGATGTGTTTTCTCTGATGATTACAAAGGGTTTGTCTCCCAACAAAGTCTTTCTCACACCACTGACATTTAAAAGGTCTCTCTTTAGCGTGGATTCTCTGATGATTAACAAGACGATAATTTCTATCATAAGATTTTCCACACAGATTGCATTTATAGCGCTTCTCTCCACTGTGTATTCCCTTATGATCTAAAAGAGTTCTCTTACGTGTAAAGGTTTTTCCACATTCTTGACACCAAAAAGGTTTCTCATCAGTGAGGATTCTCGGCTCCAGATTTGGAGTCTTTTCAATTTCATGACATTCATACTGTTTTTGAAAAGAGTGAAGCCTCTGATGTCGGTAGAGATTGGAACTCCATCTGAAAGCTTTCCCACACTCCCTGCACTTGTACGGCTTCTCTCCAGTGTGAATTCTCTGATGCAGGAGGAGGAATGAGTGATTACGAAAGGCTCTGTCACACTGGCTACATTTGTAGGGTTCCTCTCTCGTGTGACTGCTCTGAGGAACTGCAAACACTCTGTCCTGCTTAAAAGATGGCTCACCCTCAGGTTTTCTTTTCATGGTATGCTTCTTCTTATGAACAATAAAGGCTGACTTATAGATAAACTCTTTGCCACATTCCCCACATCGGTATGGTTTCTCAGCTGTATGAATTTTCTGATGATCAATGAGGGTTTTCTTTCGAGTAAATGTTTTGCCACACTGCTGACACAAAAAAGTTTGCTCCACAGTGGGGGCATCCTGGGGCTGACTGCAGTTAGGATTCTGCCTGAAGTCTTCTTGACATTTATCTTGTTTGTGAAACTTTTCCTCCTGGTGCAACCTCCTATGACGAGTAAAATTTGACCTCCACCTAAAAGTTTTCCTACATTTGGTACATTTATAGGGTTTCTCCTGGGTGTGAATCCTCTGATGTTCAAGAACATAGGCTTTACAGTGGAAGGATTTCCTGCACTGGCTGCAGTCAAAGAGCTTCTCCCCACTTCGGTCTCTCAAATGATCAAACCCTGAACTGTAGGCGAGCACTTCCCCGTACTGATTTGATTCAAGAAATTTCTGCTTAGCATGGGTTTCTTGGTGCAGACGGTAGGCTGACATACGTCGGAAAGCTTTCTCACATAAACTGCACTTATAAGGTTTTACCCCAGTGTGTATTTTCTCATGTCGCACACAGTTGGAGCTCCACCTGAAGGCTTTCCCACACACCCTACATTTAAATGCTTTCTCTTGAGTATGAAGTTTCTGATGACATACAAGATGGGAGCTATGACTAAAAATCCTCCCACAGTCACTGCACTTATATGACGCCCCCACTGTGGGAAGGCTCTGCCCATGTTGATAATGAGAGCTAAGGCTGAAGTCTTTTCCACGCACATCCTTTTTGTTCCCTTTCAGTCCAGTATGAATTCTCTGAAGTAGGTTAAAGCCCCCAATCATGTATCTGAGCCCGTTCCCATATCTTATGTAGTCAAAGTGGTGTGAACTCATTATACTGAAGTGTCTGCCATAGCCATGTTTAAGGGATAGCTTTCTCCCAGAGACTCTCAAATATGTAACATGTTTTAGGTCAAGGCTATTACTTCTTCCTGATACTTCAGAATCTTTTCCTGTCCTGTGACTGAAGTTGGTCTCTTCTTTCTTAACTCTCACTTGCATGGGGTTTCCATATTGATCCTTGAACCTGCTCTTTGGTTCAAAAGATCTGCTGAGCCCTGTTCCCTGAGAAACACTTGTTGCAAGACATTCTGATGGCACAGCTGGGGTTTCTGCTTCTTCCAAAGGTTCCGGATTTAAGAAGAACTTGTTTGTTTTAATCTGGAGCTTACCTGACAAAAAATAAAACAGAAGAGAATGTGCTCTTTTCCCATACTTGGAACTAGAGAAGGCACCAAGGGGCAATGAAATGTCTGGGTGGTGAGGCTTTTGCCTGACTTCCAATACCTTTACAAAATAGTCAAGTATAAGGCAAAGCATAGATGGAAGAGTATCCCAGATAACAGGGAGGAGGGGAGGAAAAGCAAGATGGGCACAGGAGCTAGAGACACGTAGACATCACACCCAGCAGGAAAATGAACAGGTTGAAAGAGAGTGTTAGATAGTCAGTGAGGGGAGAAGAATCATGGCACAGGAGCAACATAGAAATATACCCAAAAGCCAAGAGGTAGGGTGCCAATGAGGGCCTGGCTCAAAGGACTAGAGATCAGCCTAACACAGAAGGAAAAACCAAGCAAAAAAGAGGAACAGGAGTGTGATGAGGGCTCCTAAGTACAGGATGGGGTGGACATGGGGGTTTGGCAGGAGTACAGGCACAGGGCTAAGGACATCAGTGAATGAAAAATACAGGAACAGTGAAGCCCTCCGGCAAGAACTGTTAATGAGAGGGCTGCTGGGGAAGGGGGAAGGGACAGGTCTAGAAACAAATGGCCTCTCAAAGGCCAACCAAGAGAGGAGAGGCCCAGGGGCCCAGCACCCCTTAGCAACACTGTTAAAGATTTTCCTTCTAGATCCTTTTGTAGTTTATAAGCGTGATGATTGAGTTTTCACACTCACATGTGAGATGCACCTCCCTCAAACCTTTTTATGACATCAGCATATTACCCATCTGACTTGAAACAAACAAACCAAAAAGATCTTCTAGCAAACAATGAAGTAAGCCACCAGTGATATACTTGACCTAAAGAAAGAGAGGAGTAGATGTGGGAGGAGCAGGACCTGGTAGGTTCTCTGGAACTCACCCGTAGGGGCAGCACCTGGATTCCCCTTAGGCTGAGCTGCTTGGACATTCAGGCCCCACGGCTCCCTTGCTTCCAACCAGGAGATCAGAGCAGGTTTGGTGAATGGCCCCACTGCAGAAAAGAAGGGAATGGGATGGGAGGGTATATGGATCACTCAGAACTACCAGAGGACTCTCCCAGCCTGAAGTCCTGGCAGGGAGGTGGGAAAGGACAGGAAAGCAGGTGAAAGAAGCTATGGCAGGAGGCCCAGACTGCCGTTTCTGATAGCCCTAAGCAAACAGAGATAAGAGAGGAGAGAGGCTAAGAGAAGTTGCAGGCAAAAGGATCACTAGAATTCTCTAGAGGTGAGAACCACACAGCTACTCAAATGGTTAAATCAACATTTTTTGAAAGCCTAAATGGACTAAGAACTTAAAACACATTACATTTAATCTTTACAATAACCCGGAATGGCAGGCATTATTATCCCCATTTTATTTTTTTAAGAGACAGTCTCACTCTGTCACCTAGGCTGGAACACAGTGGTATGATCATAGCTCACTGCAGCTTCAAACTCCTGGGCTTAAGCAATCCTCCTGCCTCAGCCTCCCAAGTAGCTGGGACTACAGGTGTGTGCCATCATGCCCAGCTGATTCTCTTTTTTTCTTTTCTTTTTTTTTGTAGAGACAGGATCTCGCTATGTTGCCCGGGTTGGTCTCAAACTCCTGGCCTCAAGAAATCCTTCTGGCTTGGCCTCCCAAAGTGCTAGGATTACAGGCATGAGCCATCATGCCCAGCCTATTATCCCCATTTTCCAAAAGTGGTTACCAAGGTGCCAGATTAAGTGATCTGGTTAGCAGTTACACAGCCAGGATCTAAACCCAGGTCAGGTCCCTCTCTATGTACCACTACAAAAACCAAGAAGGGCAGTCCACTTGCTCAAGGCTTCTTGGGCGTGGCTCCAGGTCATGGTCCTCAAAAAAAAAAAACAAACCCAAGAAGGCACAAGTAAAGGTGGATAGAAATATGTGAGTACCAATGACTTACCCAGAGAAACCATGTTCCTATAATTCTCCAGCATCACATCCCTGTACAGGTTCCTCTGAGCCGAGTCCAGCGATCCCCACTCATCTTGGGAGAAGGTCACCTCCACGTCCTTGAAAGTCATAGCCTCCTGAAAAAACACTGTGCCCTAGAGCTGGTCCACAGCTCCCAGTTTTTAGAAGGGGGCAGGGGAATGGGCTGGCTCTGGGTGAGTGAAAAACAGATCTGGCAAAGGTGAACAGACGACCATCACCCAGGAGGAAAGCTCTGAGCTCAAGGAAGGTAATCTGGTGTCTGGGACATGCATCTATGGATGTGAGGTCACTAGACAGAGAAACCCAGGATGAGGAGAGCTGTACTACTCCATTGGGCAGTAACGCTGGGACATCAGGAAGGACTGAAGGCCCTGTGGCTCACCTGGGGCTGGGCTGTCAGGGACTTGGTTACCATTACCTGGTCTCCTGGGCACCCCTCTCTCTGGGAAAAGGCAGGAACCTGGGCAGCAGGAGGATCTGAAGGAGAAGAAAAAGCCATGAGAAAGCTGACCAGTTCTGGACGCCCCACTAAGCCCACTCTTCCCTACATACACAGGTCTCCTGGACCCATGAGCAGGCACAGACTATTACTAAATGTCCATCTCACATGTGTGTCTACTGGGGGCCAGGAAGGGAGCATGCGTGTGTTGGGAGTTGGGGGGCGGGGTGCAATGAGGGGAGGAGCTAGCCAGATATGAGTCACAGAAGGGGTGGAGAGGACACAGATCTAAGGGCCAGAACAGAAAGATTCTTGTGAAAGGACAAATGGTGAAAAGACAACGCCATAGAAAATTCAAGAGGTGTGCATAAGGCTGGAGTCTTAGGGCCAGGCAGCGAGTACCGGATTGCCCAGGCAAGAAGTCACGTGCTCCTATTTCACAGGGAGGCTCCAGGTGGTCCCCCAAAGCAGAGCCGTTCCTGAGAGGTGAAGCAGGGGGCCATATCTGTGCAGATCGCAGGGCTCCTGTACCCATCCAGTGCACATCTGGGCTCTGGGCAGAGCCTGGGTCCTGGCAAGAAGAAAATGTTGTGAGAGGATATCCTCATGGGAATCAGATCAGAGAAGAGGCCACATAGCAGGTCTCTAAAGGGCACGGGCCATGAGAGGGAGGAGCCAGGTCCTGTATTACCTCCAGGCAGGGGGGAAAGCACAAGTTGCAACACAAGGAAGCCCCTCCCACCCTTTCACCTCCATGGGCTCTAATGAGGACTCAACACAAGGAAGCACTTGGCAAGTCAGTAACAGCATTGTTGTCAGTCCTCAGATGCCACGGTGACGTCTCCCCACTACCCACCCCTGACCTGAAACTTAGAAATGAGAGAGAAGAAATTAGTTCTTGAGAGTTAAACTGATAATGGTTCATAGCAGAGATGGTCAAGTAATATCTACTGTCAGGTAACATCTACCACTCTAGGCACTGATATGCACAGAGAACTCAAAGAGGTAGGCTAGCTCCCAACTGCAAACTTGACTTTAATAGTAACACCTCCAGAGAGGCAGAGCTAATTATGAGGGTCAGCCGTGGAATCACAGAAGAAAAAGCCTCTAGTGTAAAAAATGGCAGTGCCTACTGAAGCAGAGAGCAGCAAAGAGGAGGCCTTTGCTCTGGTCTATAAGGCAAGGTTGTCTCTGATGTGGAGATGAGTACAGGAAGCTACAGCCAACGAACTTCTGAGTTTTCCTGCTCCCGTGGCCAAGACATTCTCTATACCAATATGAACAATTCTTAGCCTGAGGCCATTAAACATCTGATGCAAAGACACACACTAAAGATAATGAATTGATCATCATGGTAATGTATCTCCTGCTCCTCTCAAACCAGACTAAAGGAAGAATAAAGAAATAATAAGAACATAAGCACAGCCACATGAGTTTAAGGACAAACTTTCTCAGGCCCTGGTTTTTCAGTGCCCTAATTTTGCTGAACTCTAGGATGACCCTGTGACTTTATATGTATCTTAAGCATTTCTGTTCATTTTCAGAATTTGGGGGGCTTTTCTGCCATGACGACTTGTAATATAGTTGGCATTGGCAATTTTTGATGGTCCCTATGGGGACTAATAAAAATAAAAAATAAAAAAAGAATTTGGAGGGCTTTCTTCCAGCCCCCACTGTCTTCTAATTTCTAAGGAGCTTTCAGTTAGGCCCTTTCTGCTCATTTGGCAATGTTTTCACGGATTATTTTCAACCTTACATCTAGCTCTAAATGAGCTATTACAAAGCTGCAAATTTACTGTGTATCTTATTTCCTTTTATAAATTATAATTAGGCCCTTCTGAATATTTTTTTAGTAAAAATGACAAATCCTCTTTTGAGGTACTAAAATAGTACCTAATGTTAAGCAAAGATATTTTCTAATAGTCATAACTTGTGTTGAGTTATTACCATTTACTCTTGGTAGACCATGTTCAGATGTGTTATTTGATTTAATTTTTACAATAAGTTTGGGGGACAAATATGTCAAATTTATTTCAGAAATCTTAACAGCAACTTTCATTTATACATGAATTATGCACACAGAATCACACATATTTTTACACAGATAAAATTTGAAAGGCACCTAAAACAAAAATAATAAATGATCTTTCAAAAAAACTGAAACAATACAGGAAGCATCAGCTCCCTGTGTGCAGGAGAAGCAGCAGGAAGAATGCGCTGTAACTGACTTGCTACAGTTCTATTGCTGGGCCTGGGACTGACTGTCAACTCTGCCAGGGCCAGGTACACAATAGGCACTCAAATATTTACTGAACATTGCTTACAATTAGATCATTTCTGCATTTTCTTCTCAACGAACAGAGGCTCTGAAAGGTATAACAATGTGGCCAAGGACACTGAAGGTACGGAATGAAGTCTAAAATTGAGATCTTCCTATTTCCCAGCCCAGGGCTACCCTTTAGCACTCACATCCATCCCTCCTCCCCAACCGCCAACCGTGCACACAAAATAGATCCTCAAAAGCTTCCTGAGAAGCAACATGGTACATGCAGACTGCCTTTCCAGGTTTTAACACGTATTCTCTCACTCAGAAGCCCGGAGTCCTGACTCTAGGTGCTGCCCCAACCCCCACCATTTTACAAGGCTATGGTCAGTCTCAAGTCAAATTAGATAATACATGGAGATGGACTTTGTATACTGTAAGCAGCTGTGTCCGAAGACTAGTTACTGTTATTTATGGATACTTGCAGACCCCATGTGGAGCTGATGTTCCTCTGGGAAGGGCTACCTGCTCAAGGTCCATGGCTCAGGGTCCATTTCTCAGCTGCTCAGGTGCCAAGGAAATGAGAAGGGAAGGCTTCCCATGTATTCTACAATGCTGACAGTTCAGAGGGCTGCCCCCGCCCCCAGACAAATTGGCTCACCAGCAGGCAGAGTTCACTGGGCACAACACACTTGCTCATACTCACCATCCATGGTGTCACATCAAGGTCCCTGTGCAGCTCCTCCAGCAAGGCCACAGCCTTCTCCCCACTTTCAGGGTGATGGAGCTGCACCCAGGTCCGGAGTTCCCCAGGCAGGATGCTCAGGAACTGCTCTAGCACCAGCAGCTCCAGGATTTGTGCCTTGGAGAGAACGTCAGGCCTCAGCCACCAGCGGCAGAGCTCCCGGAGCCGGCTCAGAGTTTCTAGGGGCCCAGAAGACTCATGGTAGCGAAGCTGCCTGAAGAGCTGGCGGAACAGCTCCTGGCCAGGACGGTTCAGAGTCTGTGGCCTGGCAGCCTGCACCGAAGTGCAGCCTTCATCCTCTTCTTCCTTCTTTACCATTTGAAGGCGTCCTCGCTCCCTTGAAGACTGGGCCTGAACTGGATGGACAGTGCACCACCTGCCTGGAGGCATCACTCCCGTTCAGGGCCTAACCAGAAGAGCTCAAAACAAGTCTGCCTTAGCCGTGTTGCTGCTGGGTCCTCGGGAGTACCTTCTCAGCACTGCAGTGGATGATGCCATTTGCTAGGACATCAGAAGTCACTGTTAAGAGACTGAAATAACCAACATTCAGGAGGGGATGAAAGAATGATGTCCATCATACATGGTGCAGTAAGATCCTGTTGGTTGGAATTATCTTTGGATGTATGAGAAAAAGGCGCATGTACAAGAGCATTTGCACAGATGTATTTGCCAGTATCAAGCAGACCAGGACTAGAATGTCACCTATTGGGGTAGTAAGCTAAGAAAATATCCCAGAATACAGTAAAACATGTATTGAGTTTATACATAAAAAACTTCGTAAAAAACATAAATGGCTGATGAAAAAAGTCAAAGAAGATCTAAATAAATGGACAGACACCATATTCATGTATTGCAAGACTTGACATAGTAAAGATGTCAATTTTCTCCAAATTGATCTATGGATCTAATGCAATTCCTACCAAAATCTCAACAAGATTTTTTTTTTATAGATATAGACAAGATTATTCTAAAATTTATGTAAGAAGACAAAGGAATTAGAATAGCTAAAATAATTTTGAAAAATAATAAAGTAAGAGGAATCAGTTGATTTCAAGACTTATAGCTATAGTAATCAAGACCGTGTGATATTAGTAGAGGAAGAGACAGATCAATGGAACAGAAAAATCAGAAATAGACCCACACAAATATGCTCAACTGATTTTTTTAATATAAAATGTGATTTTACTAATTTTATAATACAATATTTCAAAATATCTGACCCTGGCACTGTAGCTCACATCTGTTATCCCACCACTCTGGGAGGCCGAGGCAGGAAGACTGCTTGAGGCTAGGAGTTTGGGACCAGCCTGGGTAACATAGTGAGACCCCATCTCTAAAAATTAGCCAGGCATGGTGGCACACGCCTATAGTCCAGGCTACTGGGGAGGATGAGGCAGGAGGATCGCTTGAGCCCAGGAGTTCGAGGTTACAGTGAGCTACAATTGCACCACTGTACTCCAGCCTGGGTGACAGAGCGAGACCTTGTCTCTAAAAAGAAAAAAAAAAATCAAATAAGCAATTCAAAAACAAAACAAAATGCTGATTGAGAATCCCCTAATTGATTTTATGACCCACCAATGGATTAAAAACTACTAATCCAGCAGCCCACTCAACTCCTATATTTCCTTTCTTTTTTTTTTTTTTTTTTTGAGGCAAGGTCTTGCTCTGTCATCCAGGCTGGAACGCAATGGCATCAACAAAGCTCACTGCAACCTCAAATTCCTGGGCTCAAGTGATTCCTCCTGCCTCAGCCTCCTGAGCAGCTAGGATTACATATGTGCATCACCACACTCAGCTAATTTTTCTGTTTTTTTGGTAGAGATGAAATCTTGCCATGTTGCCCAGGCTGATCTCGAACTCCTGGCCTCAAGAGATCCTCCCACCTCAGCCTACGAAATCTAGGATTACACCGACCCTGTATTTCCTTTTATATTAATAATTCATCATAACAGGGGGTGTCTAAGGGTTCAAGCCACTTTCAGGAGACAGCAGAGCTTAGTAGAAAGACTACAGAATGTGAACTAAGACAGACATAGTTTCAAACCCAGCTCCCTAATTATTAGCTGTGTAACTGTGCATGCATCATTTTACCTCTCGAAATCTCTGTTGTGGGTTGTGACGTTTAAATAAGAAGCTACTTTACGTTTTGGGCTCTCAGGAAATGTCTGTTTGATCATACAGGGGAAAGGAGGTTGTGCTACAAGCCACATCACTGTGCAGGAGTTCACCCCTGCAATATGCCAAACTAATTTTTTGTAAAGGTACAAAAGTAATTCAAAAGAGGAAGGATGGTCTTCTCAACGAATGTTGCCAGAGCAACTGGACATTCATAGGCGAAATAAAGAAAGTAAACCTAAACCTCACACCTTCTACAAACATCAATTTAATATGATCACAGACTTAAATATAAACCATAAAACTATACAACTTTTAGAGAAAAACATAGGAGAAAACCTTTAGGATCTACGACAAGGCAGAGTTCTCAAGACTTGGTATCTGTGATACTTGGTTTTCGTCCACGGTTCTGGCTCATAACTTCCATAGCCCTTATTAATTCCTAAGTGACTAAAACAATAAGCGTATCTTTTGTTAAGGTATTTGGCCTTTTGTCCTCAGCTCCTGAAGCAGCACTGGAAAAGCGTTAGAGCAATAAAGTAAAAGACAATCTTTTGTTATAATGTTGGGATACTTTAGCCTCAGGAGCAGGTCTCAGAAAACAGAATCTCTCTCTCTGACTTTCTGCCCTCCTTTCATCTGCTTCTTTTTCTCCCCAAGGCAGGCCAAAGAAACTAAAAGTATATGCTAATCTTCCCCTGCTTTTCTGTCTTGGAGCTGGCCATAAATTCTCTGACCTACCTTGCTTGACTGCAGGTCATAAGACCCCCATTTCAGAAGGGGTCCTGCCCATACCTGGGAGGAAGGAATGCTGTACAGAGAGGCCAAATAGAATCTGAACAGACTTGCCTTGTTGGGATTCCCCACTCAGTCTATTAGTATTAATCATACTATTTTTGTCCAATCACATTTCTACATGGTTGTCCATGCTTCAATCATGCTATCCAATGAAGTCTACATAAAAGGACTAAGAGGGCAGGGTATGGAAAGCTTCTAGACAGCTGAACTTGTAGAAGCTTATAGGAACGTGAACAAGAACTCATTCATGTGCCAGGAGGATAGTACAATTCAACTCCACAAGAATGGAAGCTCCCATATTCAGGACCCTTCCAGACCTCCTCCTATGCATCTCTTTATCTGGCTGTTTATTTATATCCTTTAAAATATCCTTTATAATAAACTGGTAAATGTAAGTCAGTGTTTCCCTGAGTTTTGTGAGCCACTCTAGCAAATTAATTGGGCAATGTCCAATCAGAAATTAATCAATACAACAGCAACAAAAAACATAAAACACCCAGAAATAAAGTGAACAAAAAAATGTACACGATCTTAATAGAGAAACAGAAAATTTTGCCAAAAGACATAACAGCTCTGAATAAATCTTAAGTATGGAAAAACCAATATTTTTAAGATGTCAATTCTTCCTAAACTAATGTGCAAAGTCAATAAAATCCCAACCAAATTCCAGTTTCTTTTCTTGGGGCTTGGCAAGCATATTCTAAAATTCAAATCAACAAGGAGAAGGCCATGAATAGCCAAGACAACTTTTAAGAGGGGAAAAGATTGTTCTACCAGACAATAAGACTTACTATAAAGTTATGCTAATGAAAACACTGTGTATTACTGAAGGAATATGCAAATACTACATAAAAGAAACAATACAGAATCCTCACACAGGCTTATACACACATACACATTTAGTACATGATAGAGGTAGCATGATAAGTCTTTGAGAAAGATTTGACTATTCAATAAATTGTATTGGGAAAACTGGCTAGGCAAATAAACAATGAATTCTAGTTAAAGAGTTAGATTTCAAAAACAAAACTCTGAAAAAAGAGTAAGAGTCCTGTGGTAAAGAAGGATTTCTGGCTGGGCACGACGGCTCACACTTGTAATCCTAGCACTTTGTGAGGCTAGGGTGGGATAATCACTTGAGCCCAGGAGTTCAAGACCAGCCTGGGAAACACAGTGAGACTTCATCTCTACAAAAAATCAAAAATTAGCAAGTTGTGGTGGCATGTGCCTATAGTCCCAGCTACCTGGGAAGCTGAGGCAGGAGGATCACTTGAGCCCAGGGGTTCAAGGTTGCAGTAAGCAGTGATCACACCACTGCACTCCAGCCTGGGTGACAGAATGAGATACTGTCTCTTAAAAAAAAAAAAAAAGATTTCTTAAACAACAAAAGGAATAGAGTGATTGTATTATACTATAAGACACGTATTACGCATTGTGACTAAAAAGTTAATGGTAGCCACAAGGCCCAATTAGGCATCTCACAGGGCCTGCACAACATGTCACTTAGTATGATGCAAACTGGCCCAGGAATTTCTAGGACACAAGGTCACCTCAGCACAGATGTAACTCTCAGAAACCTTATAACAAATCTTACTCTTACAGGAACAGTTTAAACTTCCTTATGAAAGAAACACCCAGTAAGGCCCAGACTGAATACAACTATAAAAAATGGGAAGGATTCCCCAAACTTTGAGAATGGTTTGTGGATCATCCTGTTCAGTACATCTGACCCCTAAATGTACCTGGCCCATGCTGCCAGCCTACTCCCACCATCAGTCTTATAAGAGTGCTGCCAGAATAAACTGCCTGAGCATCAGAAAGTGTCTTAAGATTCATCTTTGGTGCAGATCAAGCTAAAGGGGAGAAGTGGCCTCTGGGGAAGCTGGTCACCTAGAACCACCCAAAATCCCCAAACACAACAGTGATATATTTGACTACATTAATATGAAAAAAACTCAAAAAATAAAAATCAAACACAAACCACTGATAGAAGTGTAAATTTATATAGCCATCAAGAAAGGTAGTTTGAAAGTCTGTGGTAAAACCAAAAAGGCACATTCCTTATGCCCCAAACTTGTAGGACAGATAGAAGAAGAGAAAGAAAATTGAAGTATGAAAAGAACCAGAATGCTGCTAAGGGTGAAGAGAAATCTGGCAATGAGGTTAAAGAGAAGGAACTTGAGGACAGAGAGAAATATTTTTTTTTTTTTTTTTTTTGAGACAGAGTCTCACTCTGTTGCCTTGGCTAGAGTGCCGTGGCGTCAGCCTAGCTCACAGCAACCTCAAACTCCTGGGCTCAAGCAATCCTACTGTCTCAGCCTCCAGAGTAGCTGGGACTACAGGCATGCGCCACCGTGCCCAGCTAATTTTTTCAATATATATTTTTAGCTGTCCAATTAATTTCTTTCTATTTTTGGTAGAGACAGGGTCTCACTCTTGCTCAGGCTGGTCTCAAACTCCTGAGCTCAGAACGATCCACTCGCCTCGGCCTCCCAGAGTGCTAGGATTACAGGCGTGAGCCAAGAGAGAAATATTTTGAAGAAATACACCCAGTGGGAAATATAAAAGGCACTGACCTAGCTCAGGGTATGGTAGGGGTCCCCAGCCCTGTGAAACAGGAAAGAAAAAAAACAGGAAGAAACTCCACACCAGGAAAGAAATTCGCAAAATTTGCTTTTGTGGCTTCTGTAACTTGCTTGCTTGAACAGGCCTGCACTGGAGAGATAACAAATCAGCTAGGAACGCCATATAGGACCATAGCTTACACAAAGACCTCGCTGGAGATTAGAGATAAACACATTGTAACTGTGCCCTTCACCATCCTTTAGAGATGTATAAAAGACTATTACACCCCTTGGTTGGGGCTCAGAATTTGGACCCTGTCCTCTGAGCCTCACTAGTGAATAAATGCTCATTGTCATCTTCTTCGCCTGGTCTCTGGGTCAGTTATTGGGAGAAGGATCTTCCTTCTCCTCCTGCAACAAGACAATTGACACCCGCAGTGAAATTAGGACCAAAAATAAGTCTCCGAGCTGGCTGTTTTGAAGCAGCTGCTGCAGAAATGTTCTAAGAGGTCAGTGAAGTACTTGTAAAGAGGTAAATAGAAGACTGACAAATAGAAAAACGAGGGCAAATGCCTGTGAATGTGGCCAAGATTTCAGTCCTTCAATCAAAGGTGTTAGCCCAGCGTCTAAAATCATGAACATGGAGAAAGCTGAAGACCTCATGGGCCTCTCAAACTCTGAATGAAAGACCCAGAGCACAGTGAACACTGCCACCCAGCAGGCAGCTGGGCCTGCCAGTAAAATTCAGGTATCCTAAAGCTGCAGGCTTCCTCCCAAGTCCCAATTACCTTTTGAGGATGGAAGAAAAACTTCCTTTATTGACTTGTTGAGATTATACCACAACTGTGAACACACAGGCCTGGGAAGCAACCTGAGCTGGAACTTACTCTCAGGACTCTACTCCCAGAGCTTTAAACCTTAACCCAGTTTAATTTCCACAATGAAAATGGCTTTGAAAAGAACAGAGCACATCTTGGCATTTTTCATGGAGATTTTCTTCTTTTTGTTATTTTATTTCTTTGCTTCCTGGGCAATGTGACTTGTTTTCCTTTTAAAATCCCCATGAACTAGTCTCTAATTCTTGGGTTTTCCTACCAGTGTGAGTGTACATAAAATATATTTTATAAACTGATAATAAGCAAACAAGTTTCTAAGATAATCGCCACTAAAGAAAGACTGCTTTCAGTATGTACTTAAAATCTGAAAATAATATTCATACTAATTTACCAACTAAGAAATAAACTCATACCTAAAGTGCCCAAAACTTGTTCTACAATAAAATGAGGCAGGGCTCCTTGAAGAAGTGATTGATTCTAAGCTGGGGCAGGGAAAATATAAAGATGAATGTTCTGCAATGCCAGAAAACTAGGGGAAGACTCAAAAAAGGATGAGGTCATGTCAAAGGGACACAGCTCCCAATGGCCAAAGCTAGAATAATTCACACAACAAAATAAATAACAATAGCACTGCATTATAGCCCAAAGAATAAAATAAATATCCATGAGCACACACTAATGTAACTGAATAAATAAATAAAAGGAAGAGAAGGCACAGCTTTTTCTCACAAAGTATTCCAATGTTCCAATGAGTAAGTGTAGAAAGAATGAGGAAAAGAGAAAGTCACATTCCAACACTGCAGTAATAGTTGCTGCAGGCAAGATCCACCAATGAATGAATGCTATTTAGTGGAAGAAAGTTAAGGAGAAACAGAGTATTTGTATGCAAATAGCAATCTTCCCCCAAATAATCATTGATTATAAAGGGAAAGTAACTTTCCAGTGATGAAACTTGACAAGACACCACCACATCAAGGTTAACATCAGTAATAAAACATATGGACCCAGGCACACACCTGCAGTCCCATCTACTCAGCAGGATCACTTGAGCCCAGGAATTTGAGGCTGCAGTGAGCTATGATCGTGCCACTGCGCTCCAGCTTGGGCAACAGAGCAAGATCCTGTCTGTTAAAAAAAACAAACAACCATAAAAACCTCAATCTAAGCACAAGAAAACATAAATGCAACCAAGCTGAGGGACATTCTAAAAACACAAATACAGAATATTTCAGGCCAGGCGCAGTGGCATGCCTGTAATCCTAGCACTTTGGGAGGCCAAAGGAGGATTGCTTGAGGCCAGCAGTTCCAGATCAGCCTGGGCAACATGACAAAACCCCTGTCTCTACAAAAAATACAAAAATTAGCCGGGCATGGTTGTGTATGCCTGTAGTCCCAGATACTCAGGAGGCTGGGCAAGGAGGATCGCTTGTGCCCAGGAATTTGAGGTTGCAGTGAGCTATGATGCCACTGTACTCTAGCCCAGGTGAGAGAGCAAGATCCTATCAAAAAAACAAAACAAACAAAAAACTACGAAATTGTCAAGGTCATAAACACAAAGACTGAGGAACTGTCACAGATTGAAGGAGAACAAGTAGACATGACAACTAAATGTAATAAGGGATTCTAGATTGGATCCTGGAACATAAAAAGAACATTAGTAAAAAACATATGAACTTTTTAATAAAGTCTGCAGTTTAATTAATAGTACTATATCAAGTAAATTTCTTAATTTTCAATGAGTGAACTATAGTAATACAAGATATTAACTTTAGGCAAACTGGGTAAAAGGTATGAGAGAACTCTGTATAAGTTTTGCACCATTCTGCAAGTCTACAATTATTCAAAATAAAGTCTTTTTTAAATTAAGAAGTTTGAGCCATTATCATTTTTATCTGATTTATTTTCATTTTAGGTATTAAAAATTAATTTGACAATAAGCTCTTTAAAAATTGAGGACATTAAATACTGTCAATTATCTCCCAATTTGGACTCATTCTTTCATTAATTTGCATACATTTATTGAGTACCTACTATGTCCCGCACACTAAGGTCACGACAGTGAATAAAACAGACAAAAAGCACTACCTTGAGGAGCCTATGAGGAGACAGAAATATGTTATGTTAGTGACAGGTGCTACACAGTAAAACAAAACAAGGAAAGGGGAAAATAAGTTTAACATCAGGAAGGAAAAGCAAAAGCTCATAAATTCAATCTTGTAGAACTGAATTCTACAAGAATTCAATCTTGTGAATCTAACCATTCACCTGAGGGTCACAGGAACGTTCGTTCACAGGACCTCTTTCAAATTGTTTCTAAAATACTGAAAATTGCAAAATATAGTAAGTTATGTTTTACCATACTTTATGTATTTTTACTCTCCAACAACTCTCTGACATCATATTAATAGAATGGTTAGGCACAAATACTTCCTGGATACCAGAAGCCACAGAAAACTTACTGGTAGAACAGGTAGCATTTTTCATGCTTTTGTCAGTTTCCTTTTTAAGTGTACATGGAGGTTTACCTTCAAAACATTCCTATCTTTTCTGCTTACAGTAAGAAGGGATTGTTTTTCAACCAAAATATGTCAGCCTCTCTTCAGCATTAGGTAACATTTAAGAGCAGCCTAATTCTTCAGTCCCTGAATATGCACACAGCCATAGACGTATATAACACATGGAAATTCCCTGAAATTGCTTAATCAAATTACTGCTCAAACCACTCGTTGACACTTCCCTGCAAAACAACCAACCTAATATTAATGAGTTTTCCGTTTTGAACTTTCTTAGCCATCACTTTCAGATTAGCATACAGATCATTCTTTGATCTCTTAGGCCTATGCAAGTCAGGGTACACTACAATGGTTGTAGGTTAGAGTTCTACCTTTGTTTAAATACTGCATCTCCTACACTGTCATTTGTCATTTTGAAAAACAAACACCCTAACAAACAAGATTTTGCTATTTTTCTGCACAGATGTCACTTGTTGACCACTTATAGCTTCATGTAAATGTGCACTATGGGAAATAAACTGCAAACACAATGTTTTAATTATCCTGCAAAAAAAATGTTTCAGCGGTCATAATGCCAGGCCCAATTTTAACCAAAATTAAAATAAATGCATTCCACAAGGTCAGGAGATTATAATTTTTAAAAGGCACTTAATGCCACTGAATTATATACTTCGAAATGGTTAAAATGGTAAATTTTTATTTATTGTATGGCAAATGGTATGTGTATTTCATCACAATAATACTAACAAAAGCTTTTAAAAAGCAACAACATGATCTTTCATAACAAAAATATGCATGAACATATATGTGAGTGATAATTACCCACAGTGTTTAGAAGTCAGGAGGCCTGGAGACTAAGATTTCCGGATTGCGGCTACTTTTACTTTTTTTTTACTTTCCTGTGGTATCTAATTGTTTCTAATGAACACAATTTATTTGCAAAATTGGGTGAAAAAACAGAGGCCAGAGAAAGCAGGACTCCAAATTCTCTACATCGGAACCCGGGAAGCGAAGATGTCGCCGATGCGCCCCCAGCGAGGAGCGGATGGGATCCCCGGGCAGGTCCCCCGCCCAGGGCGCAGCCTCGAGGCCGAGCCTTGTCTGCCGTCGGGGCAGGGCCGAGGACCCCGGCAGGCCTCCGCGAGCCCCGCGCCCGCACAGCCGCTCCCACCGCCCCCACACGCCGCTAGGACACTCACCTACTCTCGCCGCCGACCAACAGTTGATCCTCCCGCCGCCGCCACCGCCTGCCGCCCCGCGCCTTCCTCCCCGCGCCTTCCTCCCGGCTGTCCGGGCCGCGCACGCGCGTCGCCGCTCCGGGCCCTCCGCGGCCTGTCTAGGAAACTGGGAGGGCCGACGTCTCTGCTGCTCCCCGGCCTCGGGGCAGGCGGTGGGCGGCCTCTGGGCGGGCAGCGGGGCTTGTCCCGAACACCCCTCACCTCCCTGCCTTGGATACCTCCCTTCCACGCTGGTATCTCCGATGCCCTTTCGCGTCCCAGAGCTCCAGCCTTGGCCTGTTTGCCGACATCCCTCCCATTGTGTCCGCGGGGCTGCCCTGGAGGCCTCTGTCCCCCAGGGGGAAAAAGGGATTCGAAGCTAGGGGTGACAATAGGAACAGTAATACCTAGCTAACTGGTTCTAGCCAGAAGGAAGTGTTTAGGGTCCACTCAATCTTCCCTGGGGTACCCTTCAACGAGGGGAACCAGATTCTGTGGAAGGCTCGTTGCCAGGACTCCTGCCTCTCCAAGTCGACATCATCTCATCACTACTATACCCAGGGATATTTCTTCGTTCCCAGCCTAGAGGCACACAATACTGCAACCCGCCCTTGACTCCTATTTTTTTTTTTTTAATAATCCTGTCCCTTAACTAACTACTTGATCTTTTGAGTTGTTCCCCAGAAATGGTGGATTTTCTCTAAGACAAAGGAGCGGAGGTTCTGAAGGCCCCTGGGCAGACTTCCTGACTGCCAAGATTCACCATCCCCCACAACCTGCCACCTATCACACTTAGCCCCTTGTTATTAATAGGCATACCACACCTGCCCCCAGTGTTAGGGGGCTAAGGGCATGCAGGAGGCAGGGCAGGCGACAAGGGGATGTGGATGTGGTCAAAGGCCCAGGGTCGGCACCATTAAAACAGAGGGAAGAAACGACAAGAGCAGGAACTGGTAGGGGCTTTTCCCAACCCTGAGCATTTGGGGAAGCTAGGCGCTGGTGACGGAAAGTAAACTTTCCCTCGTTAACATAGTAAAAAATCACAGCCCCTTAGCGTCATGACAGTTCCAGAGCCAGCCACACAAGGACAAAAAGTGGGAAGGTACCACTTCCAAGAAATCTCCACCCTTTCTCAGAAAAATCATGAATATTCCGCCCCTGCTTAACATAAAATTGAGGAACCAACATAAAAAAGAAAAACAACATTATGTTCAGCGTCTCTTCGACGCACAGAGCAGACCCGTTCCTCTCCAGAACGTGCTTTCGCTTTGTAAAGCTTCCTTCTATCCTTCAATAAAGCTGCTTGTGTGCATATGTGACTGACCCATCATCGTCATTGACCTGGTACCAGTACCCATTCTTCATCACTGGGAACCAAGACTAAGGAACACCGAGACAGACTTGACACCAAGGCATGTGACCCCCTCCTTTAAAAGCCCATGATGTCCATTAGTTGGAGAGTCGGATTTGAGGCAGCTTCTCCTGACATTTGTCATATTAAAAATTCCTTTCTTCCTTGACAATCCTGTTATCTCAATAATTGGAACTTTGTGCACTGAGCAACTGGACCTAGACCAAAACCCTCTTGTGGTTTTGACAACAACACTTTCCTCTCCCACAGCCTCCACTTGTTTTCTCCCATGGGCGAGTTCTAAGTAAGGCCATAATCTTGGAGGAGTAAGTTGGGGGATGGAAAAGGTGCTTGAAGAAGAGGTGAACCAACATTGGGAGACTGTCCACCCTCTATAGGAGCAAATGTCATCTACTGCCAGTGCCAGAGAACCTTGAGGGTGCAGAGCCAATGCCATAAGACCATCTGCTGCCATTGCAGGGCAAGCTGCAAGCTGCTATACCCAGAAGTCAGGTAGCTGTAGGAAAGTAATTCCCAATGTTGGGAATCACTCAAAGTCCAAGTGGGTACTTGGCTCCACAGCAAGAAAGAATTCAGGAGCAAGTGAACAGTGTAAAGTGAAAGCAAGTTTTATCCAGGAAATATAGAAGATCTATTCTACAGAGTAGAGGCTAGTTCTCCCTGCTGAGGAGAACAGCCCCTCAGCCCTTTTTTGATTTCTTTATATAAGCAAAGGCTTAATCATTAAGCTAAGCAGGGGAGGAATATTCATGTTATTTCCTAGAAAGGGGCGGTGATTTCCTAGAACTGGGACCCTCCCCTTTCTTTATAAGGCCTCTCCTGGAACTGTCATGGTGTTGGTGGGAGTTTCCTTTAGTATGCTAATATATTATAATTAAGGCATAAGGAACTGCAAAGTCAAGAAGCAGCCAATTTCTTTACCATCTTGGTCCCAACTGGTCTTAACTTGTTCTGTCACCACACCCTGTTTTTGATCAGGATGATTCGGGGCTTTTTGACTCTGTTAAGCAGTGTCTGCCAGTTCCCTATATCACTGGGAGTCCTCTGGTATGTGCTCCCTGGTGGCAGGGAGCCAACTGATATTTCAGATGGGTGTTGATGATGTCCATCTGTGTCCATCTGGATCTTTGCTTCACTCATTTAAACCACACTGAGTTCCTTTTTAATGCCCCAGTCACCAAGGATGAAAACAGAATGAATCCTAAACACCAAGAGAGATGGTGATGAGGTGGAAGAAAAACAGACAGCACATTAAAACAGGGTAACTGAATGAGTCCAAGGGGTGATTTACGAAAGTTGGAAAGGGTTAAGGAAACACAACATGGGGTGGTGCAGAATCCCACGCTAGCAATATTTGGAAGCTATTATTACACCTAGGAGCAGGCTACCTGACAGAAACCTTGGCTTTCAGTTGAGGGACACAGCCAACCCATGGTTCAGGACAAAGGAAGCTGGGGTAATAAATAACCTGGACCTGACTCTCTTCTGATCTCCTGCCAGGACTCCCACTGGTCCAACCCAACTGAAAGCCAGAGGGCAGTCCAGGAGGGTCAGCCTCCCAAGTCTCTCAGCAGGGCTGAGGACTGAGAGTGAATATAGAGGGGCAACTGGAAAATATCCAACACAAGCAAAAGGGAAATGGAAACCACTTGTCAATGCCTAATTTGTCCATTAATTTCCATTTGAAAGAATATTCTTAGGTAATGGACTCCATGGGGGTAGGGGTATTGAATATTCAGAACCACCCATACTAGAGAGATAAGTTTTGGAATTTTGGTTGAGAACAAAATTTTCCCCTTCATAGAGGAGCTGGAGCAAGTTCACTGTTTGGGGAGTGCTTACTGGATGTTTTTCAACATGATAGGCAGTTAGCATGGATAGCACCCACATTTGGTGTGCTCAAATAGATCAACCACACTAGCTTAACTAGCACTTGAAAAACTTCCAGGAGCAGCCACTGGAACTGCAGCTTTGTTTTCAATTAAGTCCTGCATAGCTTCTTGAAGCTCAAAGAAGTTCTGCTAATACCTGATTTCTCTGAGTGTCACAGCACTGAGCCTGTAACAATGAGGTTTCTTCACTTCTCTGGTTGGAGCCCTATTCTTTTTTTTTTTATTTATTTCAGCATATTATGGGGGTACAGAAGTTTAGGTTACGTATGTTGCCCTTGCCCCCCCTCCCCCGCAAGATCGAGTTTCAAATATGTCCATCCTTCAGGTGGTGCGCATTGCACTCTTTGTGTATGTATATACCCGTCCCCTCCACCCTCTTGCCCCCTGCCCCCTCTCCCTCCCCCCTGCCCAACATCCAATAGACGTTATTCTTATATGTGCACTTACGTGTTGATCAGTTAATACCAATTTGATGGTGAGTACATGCGGTGCTTGTCTTTCCATTCTTGGAATATCTCACTTAGTAGAATGTGTTCCAGCTCTATCCAGGAGTATACAAGAAGTACTATATCACCATTGTTTCTTAAAGCTGAATAGTACTCCATGGTATACATATACCACATTTTATTAATCCACTCATGTATTGATGGACACTTGGGTTGTTTCCACATCTTTGCAATTGTGAATTGTGCTGCTATAAACAATCGGGTGCAGGTGTCTTTCTTATACAGTATCATTTGGTCTTTTGGGTAGATGCCCAGTAATGGGATTGCTGGATCGAATGGTACTTCTACTAGTATCTCTTTAGGATATCTCCATATTGTGGAGCCCTATTCTTGCTAGCTGTATTTCCTGAGTGCCTTGCTTCTTTCCAAATTGGGACAGTTTGCTTGGTAAGAGTCCTATGTAGTACTTCTCAAATTTTAATGTGCATGCGAATACAAATCACTTGGGGATCTGGTTAAACTGCAGATTCAAATTCAGGAGGTCTGTAGAGGGGCCAAAGAATATTCCTTTTTTTTTGAGACGGAGTCTCACTCTGTTGCCTGGGCTAGAATGCCATGGCGTCTGCCTAGCTCACAGCAACCTCAAACTCCTGGGCTCAAGCAATCCTCCTGCCTCAGCCTCCCAAGTAGCTGGGACTACAGGCATGTGCCACCATGCCTGGCTAATTTTTTCTGTATATTTTTAGTTGTCCAATTAATTTCTTTCTATTTTTGGTAGAGACAGGGTCTCGCTCTTGCTCAGGCTGGTCTCGAACTCCTGAGCTCAAACGATCCACCCGCCTCGGCCTCCCAGGGTGCTAGGATTACAGATGTGAGCCACCGCGCCTGGCCCAAAGAATATTTCTAACACGCTCCCAGGTGCACCTCATGTTGCATTTCCTGTATCATGTTTGGAGCGGCAAAGAAACTGTGAATGTAAGTCACTGGTTCTGAACTTTGCTGCACATTAAAATCCTCCTTGGAGCTTTTTAAAAGTCCATTCCTCATATCAGTTAAGTTCAAATCTTTGTGGGTGGGTCACTGGCATGCCTAGATTTCAAAATCCTTAGGTGTTTCTAAAGTTTGAGAACCTGGGAGTAGAGAATTCTTCCTTTACCCTAATTCCCTGCTGCATGTAAAAAGCGCATGCTAAAAGATTTTTAGGTCATTTGCTTCTTAGTTTTGGCATTTAAAATGCTTCAGGATTCTACCTGTCAAAAAAGGAGAAATTTCTCCCTTAATTTTTTCCTCTTTTTTCTTTTTTCTTTTACACTCCAGAGAAGGAATGGG